CGAACAGGCGCATCGTGGCCTCGTGCCCGGGGGCCACTTCATGTTCTCGGTCGAGCATCCGATGTACACCGCGCCCGGCAGGCCCGGCTGGTCGCGCGATCCCGACAACCGCCTTGCCTGGCCGGTGAACCGCTACGCCGACGAAGGCGAGCGCTCGACCGACTGGCTGGCCAAGGGCGTGATCAAGCAGCACCGCACGCTCGCACGTTACGTGAACCTGCTGATCGAGACGGGCTTCACGCTTTCGCGCCTGGAGGAATGGTGCTCCAGCGCCGAGCAGATCGCCGCCCATCCCGACTGGGCCGGCACCGAAGAGCGTCCGTCCTTCCTGCTGATCTCCGCGCAGCGTTAGAGTCGCACAGCACCTCAATGGAGCGCGCCACTCCGGTGGCGCTCAAGCGCTGGTCGATGAGGATGATATGAGCGCCACTGGAGTGGCGCGCTCCAATGCAACTTCACCCTTCGGTCCACGCCGAAGGAACGTCGGGCGCGTTCGTGGTAGCAAGCAGGGCCATGTCGTCGAGAGCGCTCCTCCTCACCCTGCTGATTGCCGTCACCTGCCTCAGCCAGTTCTACCGCGTATCGAACAGCGTGATCGCGCCCGAGCTGGTGCGCGACCTCGACCTCAGCGCGCGGCAGCTCGGCTGGGCCGGTAGCGCCTTCTTCTTCGCGCTGTTCGCGGTGCAGGTGCCGGTCGGCATGTGGTTCGACCGCTTCGGCGCGCGCCGAACGGTCGCCGCACTGTCGCTGCTGGCGATGCTGGGCTCGCTCTGGATCGCCCGTGCGACCGACGCCACCGATCTCGTCGCCGGGCGCACCATCGTGGGCGTGGGCTGCGCCGCCTCGTTCATGTCCGTGGTGTTCCTGTGCTCGCGCTGGTTCGAGCCGGCCAGACTGGCGACGGTTCTCTCCTGGGTGTTCGCGGCCTCCAACATCGGCACCCTGGCGGCGGCCACGCCGCTCGCCTGGATCGCCGCCACGATCGGCTGGCGCGCGGGCTTCATGGGCCTCGCCGCGGTCACCCTGCTGGTGGCCGTTGGCTTTCTCGCCTTCGTGCGCGACCGGCCGCCCGAATATCGCGGCGCCGAAGCCGCCAAGGAATCGCCCGGCCAGATCCTGCGTGGACTGTGGGAGGTCT